AACAGATTAAGTGAATTTTGCGTCTAAATTAAATATGCCCTTCCTTTGGACATGTTACAGTCGTCCCCCTACTGTATCGAAGTCGATCACATGGGATTTTATTAGAGATAGGTATAGACTTAAATCATAAATACATGCTTGTATATAATTTTAAAGGTAAAATGAGGGTGAAATAAGTACTGACACGTGTATGAGTAGTATAAGAGAGGTAAAATTTGGCAGCTAAATTCGATATGCCAGAGTGTTTACTACATTCAATTTGCGGAACTACAGAGATGCCTACTTACTTGGTTGCTATTTTACCTAATTCCAGTAGCATTACTGCCTAATATGCATACACTGATAGGCAAAATAGTCCCACACGTGCTTCCTATCACTGCGCCCTCGTGGCAAGTTGCTGAATTCGATGTTATTAATTGAAATTTCACTTTGCACATAGTCACCTTAATAGTCTACCACTGCGTTAGCTAATATCGAAAACAATGAAGCATGTTTGGTTGAATTGAAAATATGCAACTTTTAGGTAAACTCCTCTCAATGCTGTACAGGGTGGGCTTTTGAGAGAGATTATGTGCAAAAAGAGACTCACAATACGGTTCATTTATTTGTACAATTTTGATTCATGATGCTGACTATGGCCCTACTCAAGTAAACTTGAATAACCCGACAGCCTGGGCAAGATATAAACTTTTAATTCACCCCAGATAGATCTCTCAGCTCCTCATTCTAAGCTCCAGACTGGAATCACAACCGGTTGCCAAGTTGTTTCCACTTACTTGATTATTTGACAATCCTGACAGGCCGGTGCGTAGAGGAAAGCAGCTAGCAAATACGCATACACCCTTCATACCTCAGACTACGGGGCATCCACCTAAAGTAAACAAGCTAAAAGCTTACACAATCTTTGGAGAACGACCGAGTCATCTGAGGCGTGTGCCAAACATTCATCCTTGAGTTCTTACAAGGGCGGTGTTCAGCAAACTTGCTTATATTTCCATACTGCTAGGGTTTAATTTCCCACCTTAGCTTTATATTTCGCTCATTCTCCACGCATTTTAGATGTAGGATATTAAGTATTACAAATTCAAGGACGACAAGGGTCGACAACAAGCAGAAGGTTCAAGCAGCCAAGGGGTGGCAAAAGTATGGCAGAATAAAGAAACAAAGCATGATTAGATTTTTCAGCCTAAGACAGATGAATGGGTAATTTCCAATTTGCTAGGGCTACGAGAAGAGAGTACCGGTAGAGATGGACACACATGAATCTGCTCTGTCTATAAAGGGAACACTAAAAGTAGTTCACTAAGGTGACCGGAAGAGATATTTGTTGCATCATTACTGTTTATGTAAGCAATAGGCGTTTTTGTTTTGCTGTATTCAGTGCCAGCCATAAGACATTTGTTGTTGCTGTCTCCTCCTCTGTTGCCATAACAGTTGCGTCGTTTCTCCAAGGTTGCTGAGGCGCCACAGAACGGACAAAGTATATAAATAGACAGCAAAATTAAAGCCGAGTTGTGGTGACGGTGACAATGTGTGAATGGTGTATTACGGAGGCAGACATGAGGGTAGGACGATGGGGGATGCGACGGAGAGGCGGTTTAGAGACACTGAATAAGGCCGGAAATGCAGGAGTTGAGGCAAATTCAGGTAGAGTGAAATTGTACTAGAGGAAGATGAAATCACGTTAGAGAATATAAGATATAAAAGAGCTAGAGAAGAGGGAATAATACTGGATAGATCATGAGGGATCATTTCGGTTTTATTATACAAACAAAGATATGCAAGAATATGTGACAATCAATATCAATGGGCATAAAGGTAAATATATGTATGAATGCAACGTGGGCAGTAATACAAACAGGCATACAAAAATGCATACTGTATAGAGAGAATGGGGATGTGTATAGGCCTAGTTTAAATCGGTGGTCGATCCATTTGGTGCATAACTTGGTAGCTTCAGAACACGTGCAGACAACCCGATATCTTAAGACACGAGAAAGAACTCAGCCACCAGCACAATCGGGGATGCTTCACCGTTTCTCCCGTCACCTCACAACATGTCCCATTGACAAGGAAGCCAGTTGAGCGACATCAAAGCGACGATTTCTGCAGAGCCTTCAGCTGGAGGCTGACACTTTATGAGATCAGATGTCAGGCAAGGTAGCCCAAGTTTACCACTCTGAGGGCTCAGACCAAGCTAAGCCTCAATTGTGAGTAGAGCTGTCTCCCTTCATTCCATTCAGTTAAGAACCCAAACGACCAACTTCTAAACAGCCGGTCCGACAAAGCCGACCGTTGCGCAACCTCCGCCCAGCGCCAGGATTGCTCTAAGGGCAAATGGTGGAGGGTCGATCTGGACTTTGAGAAGAGAGACTGATCTGATGAGAGGTTAAGCCTGAGGCCTACAGACAGACATGATTAAAGGTTATGGCGTTTTCAGGTGACTAGTTGGGTCAAATTTCACCACGGATGCCAAACACCTCCAAACCGAGTGGATTGAACCTTAGACCGTGCCTCAAGGATACATGATCCCCACAACATATTCCGTTAAGCGTTTAAGCTGACGGATTTGCGTGAGTCTTGACGGCCTCTGGCTCGCCGGTTCAGCGGTGCTGCAGTGGAAGATGGTCTTTGTATTTGACCGGTCATGCACAATTTCCCACAATCAAGTGAAGCGAAGGCAGTGCGTTTTTGCATTTTAAAAAACTTTGACATGCGTCCAGATGGGCCGTTGCAATCCCGACTTTACCCTAGCATCTCATTCACTCTCTCAGCGGTATCCGAGTCGGACACACTTAATCCCATTATACCACATGACATGTTGAGAGTGCCCGAGCGTTTGGGCCGGCACAGTCCTCTCTTCGAGGTGTATCCATTATGACTCTGATCGCGGGGAAATTGAATGCAGAAATCAAGAATCCCCTTCAGGTTCACCTCAGTAGCAAATAAAAGCTGTAGCTAAGAACGAAATCGCCAGTTTAGCAGTTGATACCACCATTCCCAACCTATTCACAGTTTCCATTACTATTTTTGTTTCAGGCATCGCCAACAGAAGTATTGGTACAGCAGATTACATGATTGTCCCCATTAAAAGATCAGTTTCCGGCGGATCAAAGCGCTTGTTATCTTAGAACAATTGGATGTCTTCACAACACCATCCCAGAGAGCCTGAGGCACTGAAATCACAGAAGCATTGCAGACCAGGCAGTTTCATCATAATACGTCAAGTGCATGGCTGTAATAGTGCAAAATCCAACAGGGTATCAAGCTAAGCCGATTCTGCGCATGTGATGCAAGTTGATTTCTATTCGCCACTCCTCATCCCTCCTTCAACTCTCCCAAGCGCCATAGCAGCAAGACTGATAGCATTTTCATATGCGCCCTTTTGCTACCTCACTTTTGATGAGCTTGCTTCTATTTCAAGTGAAAGTGTTTGGTGAAGAGATTCGAAGGTCGACCCCACCAAAATACGAAAGTGATTCCTCTTGATTAGCTGTCGGTTGGCTTTACTGGAACAGTGATGGTGACGCTGTTTCCGAGGTAATCTCCTTCGATTCCGGTGAAAAGGTGCTAAGCTTTCGTCCGTCATATGACAAACATTATTAGAGCAAGGTAAGGTATCATCGTCACAACCAAATTCAGGCTAACGAATCAGAAAAAATCACCGACAAACCCCTAAAAAGCGGTATACATACTCTACATCTGGCCTCTTTGATCAGGTATAAAGTGATTTGGTTAGTTACAGTCATATGTCAACTTCGACGCCTGTGTGTCTGTCTCTGTATGCGTATGTGCCAAACATCTGTCACCAAATACTTTCACTCGAAATGGAAATAAGCTCGACAATGTTGAAACAAGAAAGTCCTCGAAACCAACTTTTCTCCGAATATCTAACTTTTGTCCGGTTCAATCGAACTGTCATGGATAGTCAATGTGGGAATGATAGTTTCCTTATGAGCTGCCATTCAAGCCTCCCTACACCTGTTTCCATGGTCACGTCTTAAAATGCTGTCTCATGAAGGCGAAATGACTCCTCTAAAAGCCGTAAACCTCGGGAGCCTACACAAGCCTACACCGCTCCAGCCCTCTAGGAGACGAATGAGCTGTCATGGATACCTGGAGAGACCTCTCAATAACCCTATTTCTGCGGCAAATTGGAGATCTGCGTAATTTTGGCCGTGCTGGAGCAGAGAGACTCGCCGGGAGACCCCACCCCGTCTTTGGCATCACTGAGAAAGTAGAGTGAAGAAGCTTAGCGGGCCGGTTAAGGCGAGCCTTTCATGGGGAGATGTAGGCAGAGAGAAATATAAACGCTTAATCCTACACATGCCTGGAGTATTTCTAGAACTTTCTACGTTTCCTGAATTCCCGCAGACATTCAAAATACATCCATCTCGGTGCCCAACAATGCTGGGTGGCTTCAGTAAAAAGGATCCGAATGAATCAGGGCCAGAATGCTACCGCTTCGGACGGCCAGATTGAAATATTGCGTCCAGCTCTTGAGCTTAACCGTTTTATGTCCCGTCGACTACAACCACACGCATTCGTTGGGCATCAGCGGACCAAACAACCTGCGACCATTTAAACACCCTTCCGGAGGAGTCGCCTAAAATGTAGTCAGATTTGCCCAGGAATAAGACGGATCAGATTCAGAATATGGAGTAAGATAAACCGGGCACGCAATAATGCATGACCTGGAGATTATTTATGTCATGTTGCTGGTGATTCTGGTCGATCCTAGCAGTTAAACGACTCATAATCACGCCTTCAAATTTTATCCAAGGCTTTTCAGTTGTCGGCTCGAATTTCGGCCAAGCGGTAGCGATCAAATTTACTGAAACGGCTACCCGGCCAAATTCCTGACCATTTTCCCCATTAAAAAAAGAAATCATACTTTAGACATACTTCCAGCCCGCATCGTGCAGTAGCTATGCCCAGAAAGGTCGCAAGGACACGGGTAGATGATAGACAGGGGGTGTCCTCCCCCCGCCCCTACTTGGCAACAAATATACTCTTCTTCGCTTCTATTGCTTTGGCCAAATGGAGACGTACTGATGCCGAGGAACAGTCTAATCGGAAGCATAGACCCAATGCGGATAATGACACTGGAGTAATAGGACAAAACTCCTGCCCCAGATATACAGGCTTCATGAGCTCTGCCCAAAAGCTCGCGTGTTGCAAAGGTTACACAATGGAAAGTGTAAGGTTTCTTAGTACTTGACCGCGATAATGGTGTGGAATGTTCGCCCAAAGCATGTGGGAAAAAAGACTGTGGCTTGGTAGTGCTTTGCATTGTGATTACCTGATTTGCCAGCAGACACGCATACACAAGTACTTGTCTAGTACCTTCGTCAGACTATAAGTTCATTCAGCAGAAGCAGAGGAGGAATGAGCAGATCGAATGGAAATAGCAACCCGATATTTAGGCGTGACGATGAAGAATGTACTCCTGGTTTACTATTGTTGAGTTCATCTAATGTAACGCCTAAACCCTCCCCCTCCCTGCAGGCATGCCTGGAAAAAAGTATCAATCACAAGAGAACAACTCCTCTGACCTACTGAGAGAAAGGTTGATTTATTGTGAAAGGTCGTCTCCAACGCATTATTAAAGGCGCCTGGCCCATATTCGGCTTGGTGGACTTTAGAGGATTAGGCTCACCACGAAGCGGCATAGGGCGATTGATCCGAGTTGCAGAGGCAGCAGCTCTAACCGGGCCCTAGGAGCTGGTACTGAACCGATCACCCTTTAGATATAGCCCAGGGCAGCAAGCCTCCCAAGCGGCCTAGGGACGGCTGGACTGAGTCGGGAAAGTGAACTTCTAGAATGCCCTTTTCATAATGGCGACGATAGAGGCGGAGAGAGGGACTGCAAAAATCCTACTGTGTGGCCCAATGAACTTAGTACAACAGAGGCGATGCATTTCTGGGCTTTACATTGGTGATAAAGCTCGGACACTGTTGGGCCGAGGGAATGCAATAGGGATAGAGACAAAACGTCTGACTGTTCCCTCATCCAGAAAGCAGCGCCAAGTGAAGAGTGTGCACTTCCAGAAGGCCTGTCTTGTAGAATGGCTGCAGGCTCCTCCGCAGGCAGATAAGCTGAATAGGCACTCCTACTGATCATTCTGAAAGTTCAGCCCATTTCCACCGGAACCGACAAAGTCGATTGTTGTCGTCTGGTGAGAGTCATCGTCGGATCTCTGTATCTGACAGTCAGACCAAAATTAAGGCCTTCAAAATGTTGCCATGTCAAGCGACGCGTTGTAACCCAGTCACCCATCGTAGACACCAAAATTTCGAGCTGAAACTGGAGTTAAGTTGCATTAAATGCTTTATTACCACAGTTCTGGCTTGCTTTGACTTCCCGCCTAGCAACCATTTTGGTGTAGCCTATCCAACACATTCACCAAGCCCGCTCTGGCTACGCTGGTTGTTGCTGTGACTACAGCCACTGCGATATAAACACTGATGAATCCCAGGAATAGGACCCAGTGACAGGTCTTAGTAAAAGCGTTAGTCGACCCACGTAGCTTAGAGTGAGGAAGGACCGATTGTGAAAATAGATGAGGTCTCATGATGCCATTGAATGTCACACAAATTTGCCCACCAAAAGGCATTCTCACCTCGGCTGGATCAGACTACAGTTTCAACTTCGTCTGTAACTCATCATCAACCCCAACGGGAATCAAAACCCAAGCAGTGTGTGGCGTTTTGGGAAGCAAGGCTAATGACATCGCGATGGCGATTGTCTGAAAATTCACTTTTTTCTCACTTTTGGCAGTTTAGGATGGTTAATGCTTTTATTCAAAACCTAATTATCATCACGAAATCCTACTCAAAAATCGAATGTACTTTTTAATAAGTCAACTTGCACGATACATTACTTTAATTAGGATGGTTCTGTCCCAAAAAAACAAGAGGTTGGATTAAATTAACCACTATTTAACCGATTCGATAAAATACTGACAGAAAGCGAAATTAATGATGTGGTCGATTTTCTTATAGTGCAGCCATGAGATGGCTATCCTTAAAATTTACCTAACAATATAACCAGGGCTGCCGGCTATGCGTATGTGTGTGTATGTGAACGCTTCTGCATGTGTACAAGTGTATGTGTGTGTATACATGTAGGAAAGAGGAGAGAAGATGCAAATGAGGATAAATATTCAGATGCAACATCACTTTGGCGCGATTGAGTAATCGGATAAAAATGGTCCTTGCCGCTGACAAGCCTGGCATCACTGCCAGAAACAAAGAGGATTCCCACAGCCTCGACCGACCACATTTTTCCCATCTTTGTCCACCCCAATAGAATATACAAATTCCCATTAAGCTGTGGCCACTGCTACATCGGGCGTCACAAGACTAGGGAGCATAGCCCAAAGGAGGACAGGGGGCATGCGGAATGTGCAATCTTCCAAATACCGGTCACATGGCTCAAGCGGTATGCAGCAGCCAGTCGATATACTTGGCACATCCAAACAGACGTGCTCAACCTCTCCCCACGTTATTATCGGACCATACAAGCCAAAACTATGCGTCCAGAAAACTGGGACCCTTCACTGGGCTCTATCCTGAGGCTTTAGAGGGAGTGAAAAAAGTATGCGTAAAGTTATTATAATAACTGCCTTTTGGCTGCATTTATACGATTCAAAAGAATACCTAGCAAGACGTCAACGAGAGGACATTAAATAGACGGTTACATGTTTGTTTCTTGCTTTTTTACTTTTACTAAATTGAATGATTTCGATTTGGCCGAATCACTTAGCTACGTCTGATTTACACAAAATAGTTGCTATAATAAATGTGTAAAATGAAAAATGTGCCTAGATCGGTCTGGTGTCGGTGTCCAGTCGGTGATAAGAATGTGTATACTGTGAAAATAACTCTGATTAGACAAACTCAGTAAAAAGAACAACAAAAATTAAGTGACGAATCTTATTGAAGTCTGGAGTGGAAATAGTTAAAAAATCAAATAAAGCCCCATGACTTATAGAAGTAACCTTTCGGCTCCAGCAAACTTTCTAGTTGTACAAAACTAACTACAAGAGTAATGTGATGCTGGTCTTAGGGAGCCAGTCTTGTGAAACGATTATGAAAACAGATAATCATTCTGATCCTTATTAAATCAGTTATTGGTTGCTAAGTAAACTAGTGCTAACAATGGAATAGAGCTTAACAGTCGACTGATTTAGGTTAGGGAGTCGACCATCATTTATCTTGAATACGCCCTTGGGCAGGATTCGTAGTAAATGTAAGGAAAAAAAGGAACTTGACTTTTATCGTTATTCCAAGATATATACATTTTTATTGACTTATATGCACCAAAAGATACAAAAAATACACCTGTAAGGTTAGCACAAACTTGACACAAACAGGATGAAAGGGGAGAAGTATGTGAACTCCAGTAGTTGCATTAAGTGCTTACAAAAGCCATTCCATCTGGATGTCGCCAAATGCATTTTATTCAATCAAGCGTTGATTTTGGCCCAGGTGAAGGGGAGAATAAATGCCTCACGAGTTCACTTATTCATCACTAGGAGCAAAACTTCCCCTCCAGAATCAAAAACACACTACCATAGCAACCTCATTCTTATGTAGGAAGCCTGTTCAGTATGGGCTTCGGCCCTTGGACAGACACAACTACTGTCGGTGTGTCAGAGTGCATTGCACCAGTACCTGTCGGCTGCCGTCCAAATGCTTGGGCGGGATATTTTCAATTTTCCACCAGAAATTCTTCCCAAAAAGTGACAGGCCCCACTTCACGGTCATGAGCATGACCCGAGCCGTTTCCAACAGAGCATAACCGCAGCCAGAATCACATTCCGGATGGCAACTGTATCCGAGACTCCACACCTCTCCCCAGCACGATTATGACTCACGCCAGGCAATCCGACACGTTAAGAAGGCCATGGTCGAACCTGCTCTCAACTAAAAAAAAGCATGCTCTGCCTAAGCGGTACGGGCTAATATAAATAAGGAGGAACCAAGCAGACAGACATACACACACGAAGAAAGGTGGGTTCTTAAGGAATAGCTTGAGCTCCCTTCCATTTTGTGTTAAAGTGTGTAATGCAAAGTTTTGATGGTCGATCCCTTCAGAGGACGACTGCGGAAGAAGACGTTTTTGCAACTGTCATTCGGCTTACTGGAACGTT